GCGATCAATTTGCAAAAACGTCTGCGCTAGATTTAAAACATTTAATAAAACAACAAGGTTTGGAACTATGGCAGATGTCTCCCTCTGAAACTACAAAGGCAAAAGGATTCACATATGCACTGACGAGAGAGATTGTTTCACCAAACACATGGTTTAAAAACATAGAAGAAAGTCGAAATTTTATAACAGTAATCTGCAGATTGAGACTCGGACACTCCTACTGCAAATCGCATCTGAAGAGAATTGGTATCTTACAGGATCCAAAGTGTGACTGTGGAAGCCTAGAAACACTCGATCATTTATTTTGGGAATGTAATTTTTATCAGCAAGAAAGATCAAAATTATTTAAGAATTTACAAAACGTAAAGATTATTTTTCCCATCAATGTACAAATACTTATATCAAGTAATGACATACGGATATATAAATATTTATATAATTTTATAAGTAATAGCAAAATTAATTTATAGCATAATTATTATTATATAAGTACCAATGTATTGTATAGAACTGCTACAACTGTATAGATAATTGTAATGGCAAAATGATGTAAATCAGAAGCCAAAATAAATAAAAAAAAAAAAAAAAAAAAGATAAGAAAGAAGATTCTAATTTTCACTTACATACACATATGTTGAAAAAATTACACTAATACGGGAGTTATTTCAATTGGTATTAGCGTCGGGACTGGTGTAGATGCCATTCATAAAATAGTCAGAAATCATTAGGTAAAATATGAATTTTAGAGAGAATTCATCAAGGATTTACATTATTTTGGATTTATTCAGGATAAATCCATTGTTGTTACATAAAGAAATTACGAGAAGACAATGTACAAGGCAGGAACTTTCTATTCCAATTAACTTGTCGTATAGTTCCAACAAGAATTCAGAAAAAAATCAACTAAGTACAAGTACAAAACAGATTCCCTAAAAGAAACTATTCCAGATAATGCTTTAGAAAAATGATAGAGAAAACAAAATCAGCCAAAAACGTAAAAAATGCGTGTGCAGAAAATACACTCTAAGAAAAAAAATCGTGAAAAATTGGATAAAACAGTATAAAATGTAGAATTCGCATTATAAAATAAAAGAAATATATTGTATTTGTATTTATAAACTCTTAAACTAGCATTAACTCTTCATTCAATACTGAAAAATACCGATTTTGCATGACCGGTCATTTGACCGGTCGCGGTAGGAATAGCAAACATGAAATGTCGGTAGGAATAGTGTTAAGCTAGATATGAAATGTCGTTTTTCTATTTCATTCGAGATTGAATTGTTGTATTTGAAGCCATCTAGCAGCGAGGTGTTACATTTTATATGTTTCATGAAGTTTTATAGTGTCCATAATAAGCTATAAAATGTAATGAAATATATATAGAAATTTTAAAAATTATGAGCCACATTATTGAAGCAAATATTTTGATTGAAAAATCCAAGGTGATATAGTACGCTTTTACCGCGGATACTATACATATATTAAATCTTTTTGAATTCGTTATACTGTTTAAAAGACTGCAATTTCCATTACGTATACCTTATGCTATAAATCAGAAACGGTGAATTTTTGTGTGATAAATTTGGAAAATCGATGTTTTAGTCGTGAATAAACAAAAAAATATTTTTTTATACATCTACATCTACAGGTATGACTAAAAATATTGGATAACCCTTGGCAATAAAATAAATTGAGCTATTGGAAATGAATTTGTTCAATAAATTGGAGTGTATATTACTAATATACTATTTTATTGAACATATTTCAACATTTGTTTGTTTGATGGTTTTACGTGGCTGATTTGAATTTCACAGTATAATTAAAGAGTTAAGTGTGTGTTCTGAAACTCATCATTTTATTTAAAGCAGTTGTACATTTAAGACCACCCATCCATATTTACATTTAATACATCCATATTTACATTTGGGTATAGACTGTAGAGCAAAAACACATAAAAATTTTTAACTAATTGGTTACTTCAGTATAGGTTATTAAAAAATTTAACTTTTGAATTGTAGACAACGTCTGTCGGGTCTTCTAGTATAATATATATATATATATATATTATACTAGAAGAATATATATATATATATATATATATATATATATATATATATTATACTAGAATATATATATATATATATAAACACTGTTTGCCTCTGATGTGTCGCATGTCTGCCTAATATTAACGCATTTTGGTACGTTAATATCTTATATTGGACTAATCAATCAAATATTCTTGCTCCGACGATAATTATATTGACTAAATAATATATGCGTTATGTAAATAATTAAATATAGCGATATAGACGTTAAATGTCTTACAGTACAGAATTCTTATATGCTTGCTTATATAAAAGTCATTAACTTATATAATAGTACCTAAGTATGCAATAAATAAACCAGTAGTGTGATATTGTGCTTAATATCTGGAATTTTTCGATGACTAAATGAAAATAAATATTACATATAATACTCTACAAGAAAATTTCCAAAACCTTATCATTAAAAACTGAACATTTTGAAATAGGGTATGGCGGCGGGGCACAAAGGTCCAATTTGACTTTGAGCAATTAATTTGTGAAAACCAAACCAAATATATCACAACAAATAACACATATCAAACAACTATCTTACTATGTTCAGTAAAATTTCCAGCTTCATTGTAGAAATGATTTTTTGCTTTTCGCGAAATTATAGCTACATTAATCAACCGATACAAAATATAGAATTTATGGGTACATTTTTTACAGAGTAACTCTGTATATTACCTTGATTTGGTATTTTGTCAGAAATATTCATCAAAAGAGTTGGAATAACTAATTATTTAATTTATCTCTTGTAAAATTGCTTCTTTAACTTCATTTACTTTTTTATTTACATTTTTTATTGCTTACATCTTTGTCAGGGTAAATATTCAGTTGATAACCCACATGCCATGTAAGTTATTATAGTGGTTATAAAAATAACTGTTGAATATATCTTAGAATTAACAAAACATCTTATAAAACAATTAAATAACGTATAACTTAAAAAAATACTTATGTTATGGATTTCAAATATTGCTGTTTATCTATCGATGCAACGTCGTAACAATTAAGGCGATTGCTGGTTATACATCTTTTCCCTTTACTTGCTCTAGATATCGGTGGTAGACATTTTTACCCGTGTACCTTTAAGCCCTGCTCTACCCTAATATAAAAATTAAAACATTTGGAAGCATTACAAAGTATTATTCAAATAGTTCTATGAATGTCAATAAATGATTGTATAATTGGAGTCGTATTAATCGCTTGATTAATTTTTATACGAAACTAGCAAACCCGACGAACTCCGTTTTGCCACATCGTTCACTGTCTCCCGGGCTTTTCCTAGTATACAGCTTTGTCTTCCGCTTTTTAAACCACGTGTTTGTGATCATCAGATTGTTTCTGCGGTAAAAATCGATCAGCATATTTTCTCTGTCGTTCCTTCTGCCCAATCCGTATTTTCCGACTATCTTTTACTCTGATCCCTTTTCGACTACTGCATTAAAATCTTCCATAATCACCACGTTGACCTTTCCTTTGCCTTATAAATAAATATAGCAAACCCGACGAACACCGTTTCGCCACCAGATGGTTTCGTGAGAAAGATGAAGAAATTTTTTGTTTGTTTTATATTTGAAAAGGAAAAATTTGATTTTATTATACAACAGTAATGAATTTATTTCGATTACAGAAATGAAGTATTTTTTAGTTGAACTTCTCTAAGTAAATGAAAGTGAATCCGCAAATTATCCGTTTCATTGAAGTGCTCTTTGGTAAACCACATTTTTTGTTTTTTGGTCTGACGTTAACACAAACAAAGAGGATGGTTTTTCAACTCGTGAACAGCCAACGTATAACTGCCCATGTGAAAAACAATGATTTTCTAAATAATCTATTTGAAATTTATCCCGCAAACACTAAGCGATCAGCCTTGCGACTTGTTAGTTGTAAAACTTGTTAGCGAACGCAAGGCAAACTGGAAATTGCAATCGTTTGAAGTCAAACGGAAGACCAGTCGGAATCATTGGTATGTCACCGAATCGCCAGCAATTTTTGATTGAATGGTGAAATTCAGTGCGTGTACATCACTATTCTTTGCGGCAAGAATTGCTCGTTGACTTAATCAAGCATAATTCTGATAATTCTTACTAATGTCATTACTCGAATTTTCAACTACGGTGCGTAAAGTTCCAGCAATTTGCATTAAGGCACGATGCCACTAATTTTCTTGGCTATAAACCTTGCGGAGCCCGAGACCTTTCCAACGAATACAAAATTGTCGAAATCGGTTCGTGCGTTCTGGAGTTGAAAACCCGACTTATTTTTATATATATGTAGATTAATCAACGCGATTTGCAACCTATTATTTAGAAAATTATGGAAGAAACTAGAAAAGTTTTCTTTCTACACCTTCACCTACATGTACATATAACCAAATATTTACATACAAGTGAATGCATGCACATACATAAATGCATACACACACCAATTATCATGCCAAACTGATAAAAAGTTCAACATGTTTTGCCACCTAAAAAATGTCAAACTTATTTTTTATTTTAATTTTATTTGTACATATACCATGCACATTCGTATATTTACATAAATTGTATATATGTAAGGTTTACCATATGTGGCTTCGAATATCTTTGCTTTATATAACTCTGTTAAATCTAATAAAAGTAATAATTAATTATTACATATGTAAAGTTATAAAACAGAAATATTTTACAGTGTAACGAAGGTTTTTATGTAATCCTCCTTAAAGCCAGGTTTATTGTTTTATCGCTGTTGACTGTAGAAATTTACCAACGAATTACTAATTGAATTCATGTGTTACCACCATAAATTTATTAGCTTATTATGTATGTATTAAAATCAAACAACACATGTGTAGTGGCTTTGCCATATTTTAATTTGAAATTGAATTACATTTAACAAGAATTATAATTGAAATTGATATTTTAGAGTCATCAGAAGAAATGGCTTTACGTAATCGATTGCTTATTTTCCGTATTCATCGTTGGATCCTTGGTGGTTGTCGTGTGGAGGGGAGCTTGGGTGATATTGGACAATATTATATTTCCAGATGATCCATCGCTTAGTGCTCTGGCTTCACTTGTGAGTATTTATTTATAATAATTGACTTCCCAAAGGAAAAGTTTGTTTTCATCAAAAAATCTGATTTGCAAATTTTATGTTTTCTCGATGATTTGAGCCATTCTGAATCGAATGAGGCCAAATTAAGAAAAAGTATGTGTGTGTGTATATGAGAACAGTTTTTTGACTTTAAATCGTCTTTTTCTCAAAAACGGCAAAACCGATTTAGAAAATTTGAAAGTCATTCGATGTAACTTGATGAGGACTATCGTTTATCAGTTTTGCACGACGATCGGCCAAGCCGTTTCTTTGTAAATAGCAGAAAAGTGAAAATGTTTCTTGTCCACGTTTTAGCCGACAATTCTGAATCGATTTTGAAAATTCTAAAACCGTTTGAAAGATACTGGTTGGAAGTCGACCTGATAAGTTCTTGGCAAAGAGTCGATGGCACAATTTCTTGTAATTAACTGTTGAATTTTTTTTTGGCGATTTTTATGATTTTTTTGTCTATAGATACCATGGTCTTATAAATCATACTAAAATATTATGGCCTCACGGCAAGTCGTTTAATTTTAAAAATTTGTTAAAGTTTGAAAAAACTAGTAGCGTTTTTTTGGCGTTTGTCAAATTTAGGCCTTCCATCGTTTGCTCAAAAACGCCTGAACCGATTTCAAAAACTTAAAATTATTCGATGTATTTTGATGAGGACTATCGTTTCTCAGTTTCGTGCGACGATCGGCCGGGCTGTTTCTTTGAAACTTGTAAAAAAGTGTAAAACCCTTCATCCACGTTTTGAATTGATTTAAAAAAAATCAAAAACTGTTCAAAATTTATTGGTTGAGAATGATACTGATTAGTTCTAGGTAAAGATCTATCGAACCTGTAATTCACTGTTTGCCGATTTTTATGAAACTTTTTTGACAATAGATATCATGGTCTTATAGAACATACTGAAATATTGCGGCGCTACTAAAAATATTAATTTTAAAAATTTATCAAAGTTTGAAAAATATAAGATTAGAAAAATTTAAAAACCATTCTGAGTAGCTTGATAAATACTATTGTTTCTCACATTTGGGCGACGATCATCCGAGCTGTTTCTTTGTAATTGGCAGAAAGTGAAAAATTTGTTTACGTTTTAGCCAAAAATTCTGAATCGATTTTAAGAAAACAGAAAAATATTCAAAATATATTTTTTGGGAATCGTGACGTTGAATGAATTTTTTTCGAAGAAACTTTTTATGTTCATAGATATCATGATCATGATCCTAAAGTACATACTAAAATATTACGTCCCTACGATAAGTAGTTTAATTTTAAAAATTCATCGATGTTTAAAAATATTATGGTCAAAATTTGTGTCAATAGTTGCTTTTTAGACGTGATAAGTCAATCAAGTCAATTAGATATGACTTTGCAATTATCAAAAAAAGGAAATGAACAGTCTGTAAAACTTCTCTAGTTTTATAAAAAATGTAACCATTTATTTAAATCATTAAGTAATACCTAGAACTTCGGACATGATACATTTAATTGCACCAGCATTTATTATAGAAGATGCTTAATCTTTAAAAAAATAATTTATTCAGGTTTTTAAAGAAAATGTATCCACGTTTTTCGTGAATTTTAACATTTAACGATAAAGTTCATGTACTAAACAGTCTTTCGAAAATTGTTTGATTTAAATAAATCAATTTTAAAGCAATAAGCTACAATTTTAAGACATTCAAGCACACTTGTCTGTGCACTACAGGGGAAAGTCCCGTAACGCCGGACGGCTCCTAGCGCCGGACACTTTATTCAACACTTATTATTAAAGCGAGTATAAATGTTTTAATTTCAAAATACAAGTAAAAGGGGCGCGGGGGGCACATAGGTGCAAGATCACGCGCCAAGCCCCCCTGTGACGCAAACAGCCACGGCGGGAGCAACCGTCTGCTATTTTTGGGGCAAAATCATGGAGGCACCTAAATATCAATGGAAGTAATTCTAATGTATTTATGCATTCACATTTGTGTGGTATGCAAATATAAAAGTAGTATTGATTGTAATCCGTAAAACGGTAAAATATTATTAGATCTTTTACACAAATTTTACATAATTTTAGTTGCGTTTTTGATAATTTAGTTTGATTTCTAACTTTGTTATCTAACATAAGTCATAATTTAATAAACATTTCGTAAAATATTTTTTGATTTATTTATGAATAACCTTAAGTGTCCGTCACTAGGGGACTTTCCCCTAATTAATATAATTACAGATATTATAAATGTATTTGAGAGATATCAATTAGAATTCGACATGTTTTGACACTAACCTTACTAACTTTTTATGACTTTTGGTGTTATTTTCTAAATAACGCATGTAGGGTTCGTTAGTAATAGACTAGTAGAATAGTAATGATTCAAAGTAATACGAACATGTTTTGATACGACGCAGCGTGCAATAAATTTCCAATAACCGTTAATGTACTTTTCCTCATATTATGATAAGTTTCTATGAGATAATGAATTTCTTAAGTAATTTGTGTCAAATGTTAGTGTAAATAAGAGCAAAGGTTTAGATATTTCATAATCACTATACGTATCATATAATCTAAATAAATCAAAAATATTTATTGGAAAATAGTCGTCAAATTGACACTTTCAATTTTGTTTTTTTTTCTTGATTTGTTGAAAATGATCTTCATATTAATTTTATTTTGTATAATTGTTCTTCAAAGGTATTTTATAATCATACTTATAATTTATGTTTCATATATGGTATAATAAAATGTTAAATTTAAAAGGCTACAAAACAGCACTAATATGGTGCGGAAAACTAGGGGCTTTTGGAATTTTGTATAAGATCCTATTGCCTGTTATTAGAAGTTCATTTTACGGCAAATTGTTATAGTTTTTTCTTTTACAAAAATTTGAAAAATGTAAACGAATAGAATGTGAAGACTGTGATAGTGTAATTTTGTCAAGGCAAATTTCATGCACTTCTCGATACGTTTAAATAATCGACTTCTCAATTAGAAATGAGATTTTGATCAAATTTTTAACTTTCTTTAAAAAACTTATCAATGAGATTTCCTTATAACACTATATGCAATTCTATTAATTAAAATTAATTTATTTAACACATTTCAATTTACTTCGTAATAAAATATTTTATTTAAGGTGAACATTACAAAAATAGAGAAGAAACTAGTGGTGCATCGTGCCCTAAGGCAAATGGCTGCAACTTATCTTTTTTTTGTGTTTCCCAAAAATTTTTTTCACAGGCAAAATGTTTTTTGAATCATTTAAATCGGATGCTTTGTTCTCTTAAAAACAGCCATTTTTAAACTTGTAGCTTCTTGTCTCTAAAACGGCTGAGCCTGTCTTTGCCAAAAACTATTAATTAATTTAATTACAATCATCAGTCACACTTAGGACATTCAGTAATTATTTTTGACTTTTTATTATATGGATTTTTGAATGGATGGCAACTCAGTAGTTGTCGAATTCAATTATGACTAATTAACTATACTCGAAGTATTTGTTGACTTTTTTAATTTCCCGTAGGGTAAGTTATAGTAGTCGCAAAAAAATTGAAAATGAAATTTTTTGCATATCTTGACGTTTGAGGGGTTTCTGAACATTTTGACATACCTTAGAAAAAATTGATGTATGTGTGTGTGTGTGTGTGTCTGCAACAAACTTTCGTCGACGATTTCGGGAACACGGCTCAACCGATTGTAATGATTCAAAAAACATTCGATTCCTATTGACAAGGAGACGGGCTAATTTATTTTTGGCAAATGCAGGTCTAGTCGTTTCGAAGAAACAGGGCAAAAAGTGCCAAAAACGGTAACTCAGTTTTTAAGAGAACAGAGCGTCTTTTAATTTTAATAACTCAAAAAACATTTTACTTATATTGACAAGATGAACAACTGATTAAATTTTCATGGAGGCAGGTCTAGCGGTTTCGGAGATCTAGTAAAAAAAGTAAAAAAAATGACATTTGGCAATCGAAAATGGTCATTAGTCATATGCACATCAAACTCTCAGATATTATATGGCGATTTCAATAATGTGTATTAATTTTGTTAACATTTCTATGGGTTCCGTAACATCGTTTGTCCGGCGACGAGGCGCTTACGCGCTTCGATAGTGCGCCTCTAATGCAGTGCAGTGCGATTGCTTTGAAAAAAAGTTCAAAGTTTCCAAAATATTTCAAAATAAAAAAAACATTTTTCTTCAGAAGTTTTTTTCTTCCAAAAAGACAATTTTTTTCAAAAATTTTAAATTTCTCAAAAATCTAATTTTTTGAAAGTTTTAAAAACAAATTTTCTTTTTTAAAAAATTAATTTTTGGTACGGAAAGTTCCAGCAATTTGCCTTAAGGCACGATGCCATACACTAATAGTTATTATATATATGCAATTATGCAACTAACCTCAAGTGGAAATTTAACATCTAAGTTGCCTGACGTCGGGCTTTGACGGTAGCTGGAGTCGAACCAGCAAACCTGGAACTATATAATAACTACATCTCCTTATCATTACGAATTAAATGTTTTTTTTTAATTATTCAAATCGGATGCTCTGTTCTCTCAAAAATTTAATTTCCATTATCTGCGCTCTTTGTTTCGTATTTCGGGAGCGGCTAGACCGATCTTTCCCAAAAACTAAACAGCACTAGTCTCCATAAATAGGAATCGAATGCTTTTTGAATCATTCAAATCGGTTGAGAAGTGCTTTCAAAAGCGTCGACAAAAAATTTTACCCACACGTAAATACATATACACGCACACATCCATTTTTTCTGAGGTGCGTCAAAATGCTCAGAAACGTCTGAAACGTAAAGATATGCAAAAATTTTCAGTTTCAATTTTTGAACGATTTCAATACTACAATCTTGGGCGCGAGTCAAATATTTTTTTTTGTATATCGAAAGTAATTCAGATTTTATTTAATGACAAATAATTTCAACTTTGCAACCCAGTTTATATAATTCTTTAATATTATAATATTCTATTTGAAAACATTCAATA